GTATTGTTATTTTTCAAGATATCTATAAGCAAGTGTGCTCCAAAACTGCCTAAATGGATAACCATTTATAAGGGCTGGGTGATAAATCGATTTTATTATTAAACTCGAGTGTGAAGTTCATATCGATTTATTTGAATAAAAATCTGATCATGATGCTCCCGTCTGGGCTTTCGTAGTAAGTTGGTAAAGTCTAGCTAGGATCAAAGAGCATAGAATCACCAAGACGCGACACTCTAGTGCAATTTAGGAAACAGCCACTAGATGGTGCGGCGGCCATTTTGGACAGAAAACTCCAATAGAACAACAGCATATTATAAGTCTGTAAAATAAACTATTAAATGTGCTGATGATTGTGATAGTAAGTGTTGTATTGTTGTCTTTCAGGTTGTATCTCAGCTTTAATGCACTTTTTAAATAAATAAATAAATAAATAAAGCAACTGCTTGCCATCGCGACAGCTATGAGATCCAATGGACAGACGATTGCTTTCACTCCAAAATGGTTGAATCTGGGGCTGTTGCTGGGCGCTGCTGTTGCAATGGAACGTTCTATTGAGTGTCCCTCTTGGTCATTCTAAGCTCTTTGCTAGGATACAGCTGAAGATCTGCACATCATTATAGACCATTTTGAGGGATATAAACAAAAACAATGGTCCCAACCTATTTCCAGTTTTACAATTTTTAATTTCTAGAGCTTCCGAGAATCCATGAATCAAATAATGTTATGATAGCTGTTTTAACATCAAGTTATGATTGAATTGCCTCTTGTTACTGTTATGAAATAGTTTGATAGGCAGGAAATGTTCACGGGCCAATGACAACACCCCACTGATATGGTCTATAGCATCATTTTTGTAACACTGTATAAGAATAATTAATATTTTTACATTACTGTGACAGTTGGGTTTAGGGTTGGGTTAAGGCTGATTTATACTTCTGCGTCAAACACCGGCGTATGCTACAACGCTGACGCATAGCCCTTCGCCGTGGCCATCGCCGTCACTGACGTGCACCTCTCAAAAAATGTAACTACACGTCGCAACGACGCGTAGCGTAAGCTCTGTGATTGGTCGGCTTGGTAGCGCTGACGAGTCTGGGCGGGACCGAGAGCCGCGCGAATGGCGCGACGCCGCGCAAGCGATTGTTTACAAATGTGGAGTACTGTGAAGGAGCTCCGGATGGAAAGTTTTGTTTTGTGTTTACCTCATAGTTAAAGTTGTTGCACGTCCGCCGGTTCCTGCCTCAAAATGAGCGAGTTTGAGCCACTTGTACATCCCGGAAGTGTTCAGGAAAAGCAAAAAAGCAGAGAAGATCTCGACACAGAGGAACATTTACACCTCACTGCCCACTAGCGTTTCGAAAGTGTTAATGCAGACCGACAGAGACAGCGCGCAGAAGTATAAATGCACAGCCACACGCGTTGCCTGCGCCGTGGGTTACGCCGGTCACTTGACGCAGAAGTATAAACCAGGCTTTAGACGTTAATAAAACATAATAAATGGGATATTTTTCTCACTTCATAATGAAATGCAAAAAACACAGGCGCACAAACATACCCAGTAAAAAAAAAAAACTGCATAATTCAGGGCTTGCAGTTACACATTCACCATGACACACGTGCAGCCACACCTTGTATTTATTAGGATGAGGAGTAATGGAGAAGACAATTAATGGAGAAGACGCAGATACAAAAGGAATTGTTACCCATATATACACGTAAACATCTATGGCTGTTAACAATCTGACTTTGGAATCCAACATTGCCGTTTCTGAATAAATGACGTGACCCAGCCGTAAAGACGTTTGTTACAGTAAATATCAACACTAACATCACTAGCTCAGTGAACTAGAATAATCTACCAGGTGATAAGAATAACAGCAACAAAATGCAACCCACTAGCCTAAAACTGACTTTCCACTGCATACTACATTTGGACATGTCTGTCGGAATACGCACCCTTGTGGTAGTCGCACGGAATTTTCAGTGTTGTGCATCATGGAAGAGAAGCTAATTCTTGTGGTGTTTGAAATAAAGTGCAAAAAGAGCCTTTATTCTCTGTGCTTACTCTCATAGACCGCTAAAACTTTTGGAGGGAATGTGGAGACAACATAAAAAAATTTTTAAAAAATTGTTATTACTTATTTATGAATAGAAATGCTTTTTTAACAGAATTTTTTTTCTGATTAAAAAAATAACGAAAAAAAAAAAACTTTCTCATCTCGTGTTCAAAGACCTGCTTGGACAACACTGGAACACTGGTCGCGCACAGTCCAGTCGCAGGATTTCAAATATTTCAGCGTATCCACAGCTCAAATAGAATACAATTTTTCCGCATACAAAGATGATCAGAACCACACGCAGCTCCCGGACTACTCTCCATTAGAAATAAATCATGTCCGGTCTGTCGCTTGTCATTTGTCATATGCAGTGGAAAAGTGGCTTGATAGAAGCAATTTATATGAACTGTTATAACACTAAATAAAAATAAATAATCTTCTAAATAAATGTTCATTAATGGTCCCCTTTTTAAAAATCATTATGAGTTTACTTTTAATGTTGTTTACTTTCATTGTAATTGTATAAAATTTGTGTTATTTATATTATTGTTATAAAAGTATTTTATGCAATTATAAATCGAGCTTATGAAAATTAATCTTTAAATGATTTTTTCTTTAGCATTTTTATATCCTATAATTATGATAAGGTTATGACACTATGTCCCACCCTCTCTTCATGCTGCGTTTGAGATTAGGTCAAACATCAACTAAAATTGCACATTTCAAAGTATTTCACGAGACCTTTAAATAATTTTAAAAACAGAGTAGATGCCTTGTTTACCTTTTCAACTGAAGTGGTGGAGAGGTTTATTTTAGCTAGCTGAAGTGAGTGAGCTATCTTTATGTCACCAGAAATACCTAGTTTCCTTCCGGGTAGTGTTGTCGATGAAATCTAGACTAAATTAAAATTATACTGGTCTAAAGGGTCAACGGAGTCGTATTTAGAGTAGCATTTTTAAGCTTTCACATTAAACTGACTAAAGATACATTAAACTGACAAAAGATCTTTCTCAAAATCAAGATCCTATTTGGGGTGGCACAGAACAACTGCTCCTTTTGTCTTCCTGCATCTCCCAAATAGTAGTCCCACAAACATAAATACAAGCTTAGATATATTACAAGAAAGCTTAGAAAATTTTTTATTGTTGGAATTTGACTGGGCACCATGATGGCTCAGTGGTTAACACGGTCGCCGCACAGCAAGAAGATCGCTGGTTCTAGTCCCGGCTGAGCCAGTTGGCATTTCTTTTTGGAGTTTGCATGTTCTCCCCGTGTTCGCGTGGGTTTCCTCCGGGTGCTTTGGTTTCCCTCACAGTACAAACACATGCCCTAAAGGTAAATTTGGTAATTAAATTGTGCGTAATGTGTGAATGAGTGTGTATGGGTATTTCCCAGTACTGGGCTGTGGGCTACTTCCCACTACTTTACCAAAGTATCATAATCATATGAATCAATAAAACTAATTTCTGAATGTATTTAAAGAAATAAATATTATGGATTAACCTCAAATTTGATTGACCGCAACTGTGTCTTGTGTTTTAAATTACCAGTACAGTAACTACCATACAGTAAGTACTGAGTACAGAGTACCAAATCTTTCACCTCGCGACCCCCAAAATAACAATGCCAGTGAGTCACGACCCCCAATACCCTCTGAGGTGTTAATAAATATACAAACACGCGCATACATTAACAGGCCAAAATCTGTTTTTCGTTTAATCTTGGAAAACGACACTCGAAGACCTCCATGTTCAATTGTGGCCTGTATTTATTTTTAATGAACGTAAGTGTTATAAAGAGTGTCAGAAAGTTTAACCTGGTGCCAAAAAATCAATCTGCTGCATCTGACGCCATTGCTGTGTCTTGAATATAACAGAATTTCCCCAGGGGTCACAATTTAATGGGTGAAAAAAATAAATAAAAATGAACGAAACACTAATGGCTTTTTATTTCCATGTTGTTGTTTTTTTATGAAACTATTGACTACTATTTTGTCTTCTGTAGATTATGGATAATGCACGGTAATTATAATAATTTAATAAAAGGATTTCGATTTTTGGAAATCACCATGCGACCCCTCCTCATTGTCCTGCGACCACAGCTTTGGGAACCACTGCAGTAAGTAAATAAGTCAAAAACATTAAATAAGTTAATCAAACTAATAACCAAGCAAAAACGTTGGAGATGTCCTACCTAGAGCTTAACAAAAAATATTCTGCTAAAATGTAGTGAGCTGTGAAAACCAAGACTGGAGAAAATTCCAAAATGTCTAAGACAATATTAAAAAAGCCTAAATTATAAAAAGGGATTTAATTACATAGAAACTTAAAACATCAAATTACCAAAATACTGCCTAGAATAATGTGTCCTGTAAGACACTGGATGTGAAACCACAAAGCAATGAACACAGAGCTCAGAAGAAAAGAACAAAATAAAATGAGCCATCTCAAAAGCTCTGCAGTGCACTGACACATATCTGAGGGTGGCACAAAAGCAGCCATTGCTCTCAAGAAATCATACAAAATACGTCTGGAGTTTACAACAATGACAATGTGACCCAGCTCTAACAAAAGTTTGACAAAAAAAAAAAAAAACTGTCATCTGACAGCATTTTTTAAGCACTTCCCACAAACATAACACCATGCCCAGAGTGAAGCATGATGGAGTCATGCTGTGGGGATCCTTCTCAACTAAATATTAAACATGTTCATTGCTACAAAGAATTTAACCAATACATGCAGGAGAAGACAGAACACAACCCTACATATGCAAATTATTTTGTGTGTGAGTGTATAAATTGTTTCAGATACAACAATAGAAAAAAGAAAAATCACTGCTTTGAAATAACCACCAAAATAATCAAGATGCCATTCAGTTACCCACATGGATCACAACAACTGTTTGAAGTTATGTGGTGTACTGTAGATGTTCACTGCTTCTTACCCTCGATAGGTGAGGTCTTGAGCCTACGGCAGATCCCTTGCACATCTCCATAGCATTCTGCAATCTTGCTGACAGCCTCGCCACTGCGGAGCTCCATCAGCTCACGGAGCTGCATCATTGTACAACCAAAGTCCCCTTCATGGTCGACCTCGGCGACAGAGTTCCCCGGCGGATGGTCTGCACTGTTGTTAGCCATTCTGGTTTAATTGTAAGACTTGGTGATAAAGGAATGTAGACTCAAGACGCACCACAGAGAAACTGAAAGAGAGCAAGAAACAGACAGACGTTCAATTATTTTAAGGGGAAAACAAAATGGCCTAATTTCGAAGTTTTCAACGTTTTGTGACAGAACAGACAGGAAATGCTGACACCGTCTAAATGACTCAAAACACTTGGGCTTGTGAATGAAGCATCATTGTTGTGATAATATGACGGGAAACAGACAGAAATGTTTTGAAATACAGCACTTTCTTAGTCGTGATTTTTTTTTTTTAAACACAGCAGTTCATCTAAACACTTGCAATATACAGATGCGACTCACTGAATTTGCACATCTAATGGGAATCACCATCTCAGACCCAGATTCAATTTCTGTCCATCGCAGTCATACATAAATAATTAACCCTGCAGGAATATATAGTTTGGGAGCAAATTAAAGTGTTTACTGTTTTTCTGCCAGCCTCCAAGCCCACAGATGGAGGTAGGGGGGGAATGCGGAGAGTTAGAAAGAGAAATAAAGGGCAGCACTGAGTTCAAAATAAGCCAGTGGTAGAAAAAAAAACCCGCCCATTAGAGATAAGGAGGTCTGTGTTAATGTGAGATAGGGGAGCTTCCAACTCCGTCGGGTTTTCTTATGCACGTGGAATTTGAAAAAAATGGAGGTCACTCTTTGATGTGTGCTTGCAATGATCCGAGATGAAATTTTGGACTGGGATTCATCTACCAGTGCTACGGCCAATTTCCCCACTATCACACTAGTACAGTCAGCGATGGCAGCCATAAAAAGCTAAGAGCTGGATGCTGGAAAGCCCTGAGGAGGATTTTAACCCAGATTGGATTACCGTCCACCCTTCCTTCAGAGCCGGTCAGGCTCCAGCTTCACTGTACATCACTTTGACCTGTTAACCTCTAAATGAGGAGACATCAGTCCAGTAGATCCTTCTGATCATAGTGACCTGATTTTTGTATCTAAACATGAATGTGCTCTTGAACTGCTGAGGATAATGATTCTCTTCTCTTTTTGCCATCATTTTAGCCCCACTAAAGTTGTCATTATAGCTTGCACAAGTACCTAAAGTGAGGTCTGATTTTTAAAACTTATTTCCATTGTTCTGTTTTATGCACAAGTGTGTGTTTGAGTAAACCACATCAGTCAGGACAGAGAGCAGCTTATTGAGTTTAGTTCTAACATTAGTAGTAATGTAACGGATGTCTGTAAATGTCGAAATGTGTAAATGCCACAAGAACAAGCTCTACAGTGTTTCCAAACAAATGTCATACATTGCCCAAGGCATTGAGAGAGGCCATTACCGAGCCTTCAGATTAGCAGAGCACATAAAATGTTTGAGTGCTTCTGTAGAGGAAAAAAAAAACTAAATCTATAAAGCAATGTCACATGCTACTCTAAAGAGGACACACCCTTCTCTGGCAGGAGGAATGAACCTATGAGCTAGAGCTGTTTTTTAGGGGGAAAGCATGTACAGCACTTTACCACGACAACAGGTAGACTGCTTAAAGGTTTATTAAACACATGTAGTGGTGGAGAGTCTGTAAACTAATACTTCTATTAAAAGTGCAGATAGGTTCTTGCTTTCAAATCTTCTTGCGGAGTTCTGAAGACTGAAATCCTCCGTCTAGCAAAGTCTGAATATCAGATGTACTATCTGAACTGAATGTACAGACTGAAGATGACTATTAGTCCATTTATAATCCTGCTATGCAGGTTTGTTTTCTTCTTTCTACATTTCTGCACTCACCCATTAACCCATGATGCAAGAGCCCCAACTGCCAATCATAACAGTAGCCATGAACTCTTATGACTTGCTAATTTTTGCATACTGCACTGAATTTTCTTCTATTAGTACATTTATTAATATAATCTTTTGCAGATGAGTACTGAATCTGCTGTATTCTTCTACTTCATCAAGTGACTAAAAGCCTGTTTTCACAATCCACAATGCAACACAAAGTGGGCATTTTTAAAATGTATCTTTTGACAGCGTTATCGAAAAGATTTGTTTTTGTTTCCTAAAAACACCGTCTCAGGCCCCGTTTACACTAGTGCGTTTTAGTTTTAAAATGGCGTTTTAGATCAAAAATGATCCGCGTACACACTAACGTTTCACCTAGCGTCTCTGAACATCTCCATCCACACTACGCCACCAAAAACGTATATCACGTGACCATTCGCGCACTCTGGGCATGCGCGTTCTAGTATAAACAGAAAGCATGTGTCTCGCTCAGCATTTTGTTATTGTTAGTCAACAAACGCCGGTTGAACATTAAACCCGATTTCAAAGAAAGCAAGAGAGGTATTTTTGTGGACAGACGACGAGGTCGAGTTGTTACTAAATGAATCACTGCACAATGGCGCCTAAAACAGACAATAGTGCAACCAACGCTCCCATTTCTGTGCCCATGTTGTTGTTTACAGTACTGTCTTCCGGTAGCGTTAAAGTCATGTGTTATAGTCATGTGATAGGGACTTGACAAATAAGGGAAGGATACGCAATGACATAAAAACCCCAATCAGTCAGCGAATCTCAGCAGTCCCGTCTCCGTTTTTCCTCATCCACACTGAAACGGAGCAGCAGCGTTTTATAATGAAAACGGCCTCTCCAGCGTTTTCAAAACGCTTCGTTTTTGTAGCTCAAGAACTCCGGCGTAGTGTGGACGGATGGCATAACCGTAGCAAAACTTATATTTTAAAACGAAACGCATAAACGCGAAACGCGGAATAGTTCATTTAAAATGAAATCTTTCAGCAGAATAGTACATGTTTGCAGCAGTTTTTTTTTTTTTTTTTGCTCACATGCAAGTTTGTGCATGGAATACATCTCACACAGAGATATTCCAGTTAAAGCAAAATTTAATGACTCCATATATCACCAAGAGCTGTGGTTATTAATTTAGTTTGCAAGCACATTTTCTTTTTTAATTCAGGATCTCCAGAAGTTTCATGAAACATGCAGCGTTTTTCAATGGTTTGATACAATCTGCACTGAAACAAGAAATGCAGCCCCTTTCCTTTTTTTAAATAGCCAACTGCATGTCGTTTATATCACTACTTGGCCAGACACATACTAGCTTATAACTCAGACTTTTGCCTGCTCGTTTAGAAAAATAGGACAACTCCCCTCGACAAAATGCATTATTTGAAGTGTCATTTGTGTCACTTTAGTTAAACACAAAAAACGTTTACCAAAGAGTTTGAAAACCTGCAACTGGTTTTCACACTGCATTACCCAGGGTAAAAAAATGAAATGCTTTTAAATGATGTTACGGAGGCAAGTTGAATAAATACGATAATAAATAAGAAACAATGTTCCTATTTCATCCAAACAATTTGCAAGCGACTCCGGAAAAAAATTCTACAAAAATTTAAAAAAAATAAAAATAAAAAACAACCACCAAGACAAATGTTTTCACACTTTGAAAAGCCTTTGTTCTATTGTTTCTCTAGACTCAAAGAATCAGTGGATCAAGGATATTACAAGGTCTCTTTCACACTTATGTAGGCAAGCATACTTCAGTTCATACACTGAATAACACTACCCAGGGTGAAGCATAAAGCTGTCAAATTGCAATTTTCAGAAGCTGAAACTCAAGCAATCAGTGTAGTCCAGCAGCAGAGTGCCAAAAACACATGCCAATGCAAATCACTCCACCCTTTATCGCCTCTGTAACATTGTTAAAATTCTCATGCCACTTTTTTAATGGTGAGAAATCACCCGTTTTTTTTTTTTTTGTTTGTTTGTTTGTTTTAACAGGTGGCTGGTATAACATTCCATGAAAAATACTACAAGATAACTACTACCCATTTGCCAAGGTTATGCTGCTAAACTGATCTGACAACAGACCTTTTGTGTAGCGGCCTGACAGGTGGACTTACTTTCACCTAAGAATAGTGCAGTTTATCACAATCTCTGGTGTGCATTAAGCAAATCGTCTTAAACGCTTTCCTGCATTGCACTTAGAGGATGAGCTCATCCCAAAGAGCCATTTTCATGCATCAAAATGAAATGGCTGCAGGCTGGTGTAACAAGTGGCATATAAAACCAGTATTTTTCGCTCTGAGTGTATATTTGGTGAATGTGCAACCAAACAGGTCCAAAGGTTGTTGGCCGTCACAACATGGTTGACAGTTTAATAGATGTAAGGGGGGGAATCTACTTGAGGCTAGTCCATGTCTTTTCAAATTTGATTTTAAGCCTGGCGGAAATCTTCAATAGAATTATGTTTCATTTGAAGTAAATATTAACTAAAATAACACTTTGAATACGTTTAACTAGAGGTCTGCATTCCTGTGGCTGTCCCACGGGCGCCGCAGGACCCGACCAGATTTCTGCAGCGCGGGAATACATTTCCAAATAAATTGCGGGAGCGGTCGGTAACAGGTTTAATTTGGGACGGGAGCGGGCTGTGCGAATGAGAGAGAGAGCTTTGCCTGTGTGTGTGCTTGGTGCTTGTGTGTGTGTGTATGTTAGTGCGCACGCGCACGAATGAGAGAGAGCTTTCCCAGATAGCAAAATACACTCGGGCCAGTTCCGGCTAGATTCTCGCCTGCCGGAGACTTACCACTCAGCCCGGCTCCGGCTGCCGGACTCCGGATGCTTGTGGACTCACTGCCCGATTCCAGCCCAAATCAATCGGGCCAGATGCGGCGGCCGTAAGCGAATCGACACTGCCGCATCCGCCCCAGAATCGGCCCGAGAGTAATTTGCGCTGCGGCCCGGAGCTGGCGCGACTCAGTATTTATATACCTTTATATAAAACCTTTTGGTATTACATTGGTACTTGATACATGGTATTACAAGCCTTTGAGCTGATATAACAGCAAACGCCTGTGTGTCTGCTTGGTACTTGTGTGTTTGTTAGTGCGCGCGTATGAGAGCGAGAGATTGGTCTGTGTGTGTGCTTGGTGCTGTGTGTGTGTGTGTGTGTTTATACAGACAGCCTGGCTGTCTGGACTGTATAGCTGGGGGATTTTCGGTTTCGTTCTCCCCCGCTCTTTAGCGGGATCGGGCGCGGCGGCCAGA